GTGCGCGCGTGCTAGTGAGTGGGCTTGCTTGTGTGTGTGTGTGTGTGTGTGTCTGCTACTGAGTGAGCTTGTGTTTTTATGTCAATGACCTTATGTATATCAGGGAGATTGTTTGTGTATGAGGCTGTGTATCAATCAGCTTGTGTCAGTGAGATTGTCTGCATGTGAGTATGCTTACTGTATAATTAAAAATTTTACTCTGAAAGGACCAATATTTTATATTGGAAAAAGCATATATATCAATCATCTAGGGTGGCAAGACATAGCCTTACATATTACATGCGACAATATATGGCGCAATGACTTATGGGGCTGGCATAGATATTTTTTCCAGGGCTGCTTTGGAATCCCCAGTCCTGTCTATGTGTCTCAGTCAGCCCCCCTGTTTCTTACTCGCCAGTGTTAATTTTGGAGGCAAATTTCAATTTTATTAAAGGAGGCGAATATTATGCTTTATCTCTTTCTTTAGTCTTCAGCAGCAAAGAAAGGATATATTATGCTTTAGCGATTTCTTTATCGCAGCGGCCATATTGGGTGTGGCAAAAAGTTTGCCGCGCTTTTTTCCCGGCCTGCACCGCTTGTTTAGGGGCGGGAGCTAGCTGATTGGCTGCTTAGCATGCTGGTCAGCCTGCCAGTGCTTCCCTGGGGCTATTCCTGAGGGAACATTCGGTAAGCTGCCAGCATTTTGTATTGTGCTTTGTCCTGTTAGTTTTTTGTGCCTTGGTTTAACTGCGTCTCGACCAACACCCCTTCTGTGACAAATAGTACACTTTCACTGCAGTTTCATTGTTAGTGTGATATCCCTTATTCTTATTATGCAGACCCCTAAGGAGTTCGAATTGAAGGACTGAGGTCAAGGGGCCTCCATGAAAAAAGAGCCACCCGCCGGGCAAAAGCGGTGCAGACATGGAAGAGGGCAAAAGCCCTACCAGATTCTTCCGACTCGGATTCTGAGGAGGTTTCGAAAGAGTCAGATGAGATCGGCTCTATTGAATTGGAGACGTCGTCTCTGGACCGCAGTTTGGCTATAAAAATAGCCATGTGTGCTAAAGAGATTGCGGACGCTTCCACCATTCTCGACCCACAGTGTGAACCCCTGTTTGAACCTGACGTCTTACAGAACCCTAGGTCAGCTGAATAGTACCCGACCGATCACGTGGCATAAACTTTGGGCAGACACCGGAAGTAGACCCTAAAGTAGCCCAATTCCTGGGGAAATCAGGCTGGAAAGCCAAAAAGGGGCTCGACTACTCATTACGTCATTGCCAAGACAAGGTGCTTGACACAATTTTCAATATGATTGAAGCAGCCTTAACTGAGGGCGCACCAGTTGATCTCTTAGCCATTAGAGGTTGGGTCCAATGCTCTATTTGCTTAATTGGCAATGCTAACACCGTGTTGGCCACTGAGAGGCATAAAGCAATCCATATGAAGATAGACCCTAAACTTGTTAATATGGCAATATCTGAGCCTGGACCACAGGCAAATGGCCTCCTATTCAAAGACAATTTCTTGAAGGATATGGGTACCTATGTTAGTACCTTTACAGCACTGGACAGGGCTCACAACAAACATGAAGACAGTGTTCTCTCCAAAGGTTTTTGGTGGGATCGGCAGACGTCTGTCCGGCCGTTCCTTCCAGGGTTCCTACCGGGGCTACCGAGGCTCTGCCATGCCTAGGTTCCAACATACAAAGACCAAGTTCCCTTCGGAATTCCAGACATCTGCGATTGGCGATGCCTTCCTACAAGTGCAAACGCTCTGAGGATCGATGTATCTCGACCTGTTCGCGTCTCGATTGAATTCCCAACTTCCGGTGTTCTTCAGTTGGAGGCCAGAGCCGGACGCTCTAGTGACAGATGCCTTCCTCCATTCGTGGCCGGACCAAGGACTTTTTGCATTTCCTCCTTTCTCCCTACAGGCTGGGACATTAGTACACCTCAGCCGTTCACGGACGTCTTTGGTTCTCATAGCCCAGTTCTGGACTGCACAGCCTCTGTTCCCTTGTCTCATGGAGATGTCCATAGATCTTCCCAAACTGCTTCCCAAATCAACGCATCTCCTACTGGATCCCGATGGGAACCCACTGTACTGTGGTGACATGGACCATGGTCTCTGGGATATCGGCGACTAAGCCGTCTGATATGTTGATCCAGTTATTTTCATTTCGTTTTTTCCGTTGATGGTTTTCTTCGGCATCACCAAGAAAGAGGAGTGGCTAAGGGTCACATGGGATGATATTGCTATGTGGACCCTCTCATTGGCAAGGATGCTATCATTAACCCTTTAGGGTATTTGTTTCAGTTTTTTTCCCATGAATATCTTATATCCTTTCTTTGCTGCTGAGGAATAAAGAAAGAGAGAAAGCATAATATTCGCCTCCGTGTCCTTTATAAAATCATGACTTTACGTCGTGTAATTAGTAAAAATCTGGTAATTTAGTTTTAGTCAGTCTTTTGACTAAAAAGCTATTTTAGTTTTGGTCGTATGTTAGTCATCCGAATTGTTTTAGTTTTAGTTGACTAAAATTGTTAGTTGACAAAATTAACACAAGTTGAAACAAGCATTTTATGCCCACTCAAATAAAATAGTAAAATTACTGGCAAGAAATTTGAGGTTGAATGGAGGTTATAACCACATCTCATTTGTACTCTCCTGCAGGCCAAAAATATTGAACCCAGCCAGGATAGCGGAAGAATTTGATTCATTTTATGTATTTTCATTATACATCCGACATTAGTATCATTTATTTGGATGTTATACATTTTTGAATAAGCTAACAATTATAAAAACCCGGGACCAGATGGTTTGATGTGAACAACTTATCAAATCTTTGTTAAAATATTAGTCCCTCAGCTTACAAATATTTTTCAATACCTCACCTCATCATCAAATGTACCATAAGAATTTACAAATATTCATTTAATTACCCTTCCTAAGCCAGAAAAACAACCGTTTGCCAGAATTTTAGATCAATATCGTTATTATATGTGGAGACTAAAATTTATGCACAAAGATTGGCTAATAGACTGACCTATAGACCTATGTTATTCTTCACTGAGATCATGCAAGTTTCATTAATACAGAGAAGGCATTTGACAGGGTCCATTGGCAATACAAGGTTGAAACATTGCGAAGATTTGGTCTTCCTGCATTCTATTTTGTCTGCTATTTAAACTTTATATACTAATCCTTCAGTATTACATTCTAGATTTTTATTTGAAAGATTTTATAATATGCCAATGGATCCTGTCAAGGGTTCACTTTTCTTTATGATTTGTCCCAATTGGTAAAACCCAGACATTATGGGATATGCATTATCCACGGTATAGATCTGAAAATCGGGAATGTTCAGGTTATCTCTTACTAAACCATATTGATCTGTCCCATACACAGGTGATACTTGAAAAATTAGAATATCGTGCAAAAGTTCATTTATTTCAGTAATGCACTCTAATCCGCTAAGTAAGCCATAACACCTGCAAAGGGTTTCTGAGCCTTTAAATGGTCTCTCAGTCTGGTTCAATAGGAATCACAATCATGGGGAAGACTGCTGACCTGACAGTTGTACAGAAAACCATAATTGACACCCACCATAAGGAGGGAAAGCTTCAAAAGGTAATTACGAAGGAAGTTGGATGTTCCTAAAGTGCTGTATCAAAGCACATTAATAGAAAGTTATGTGGAAGGGAAAAGTATGAAAGAAAAAGGTGCACAAGCAGCAGGGATGACCTCTGCTGGCAGAGCATTATCCTGCATTGAATGGAGAGCAATCTCCCAGAGAGCCCAGGGAAGGGGGGGATGTTTGGGAACTTGCTGTGTGGGGGTCACTCTGCCACCCCTCTCTTTTGTTAGTTATGTAAAGCCGAGTTGGGGAATGTGAAGAATTCATGGAGCTTCACTGACTATCCCACCTCATGGGAGTAGTGCCCAGCAATGCAGGGGTTAATTTAAAAAAAAAAAAATTTAAAACAAGTAGCATTTACTATTGCATTGAGTTTACTTTTATTACATGCTAGTCCCTGGGATTGCCCTTTAAAGGGCGGCGGAGGCGGTTTACTAGGAATGTAATTTCTGTCAGTTTGACAAGCAGACTTCCGATTGACTGCAGATGTTCCATTGACAGTTGAGTGGTAATGTTTTGCTTTTCTACACCTGATAGGCCGGTGACATCCGGGGTCTTCGTTGATTGATCAGAACTGCTGCCCGTCACGGCTGGGCTTTTTTGTCTCACCGGATGCTTCTCTCTGACTGGCTGACTGTGTTGGGTTTCTATGTTGCAGGGTGATGCGGAAGTGAAACTCGGGAGTTGTGGAAGACATGGACGGTGGAGTCACTAGGAGGAGAAGGGCTGCGTGTGAGCGTGTCGGGGGGGAAGTGGAACCGGGAGCTTTATCCAGCTGCGAGTGGACCATGTGTGAGGGAGCAGCTAGTATATCGGCACTGTGTGCCATGGCAGGGTGTCTGGGGTGAGCTTTGCCCGGGTGTGTCCAGCTTACAGGCAGTCCTGAAAGTAGTCTAGAGCCCCTGTGTGTAAGATGTATTGGGCTGTGAAGATTTATTCTCTGGAAATCCATCCTGATGTGTCTGGAGAGATCAGAATAAATTTTATAGGAGGCGAGAGATGTACCAGGATTGGCTCACCTCAGTCCATGTCAGACAGGGGATTGATTGTACTAGAGCAGGCTTCCCCAAACTCAGGCCCGGATATTGCTGAACTACAACTCCCATGATTCTATGAATGAAATAGGCTGAGAATCATGGGAGTTGTAGTTCAGCAACATCTAGATGGTCAGAGTTTGGGGAAGCCTGTACTAGAGTGTAGAGGGAGACTTATCCTCGCTTTGCCTTTTGAACTCTCTGGATTAATGGTCACACCTTGAAATTCCCTTTCTCCAGCGATTCCATTACCTCTTTCAGACGTTTGCCAGGCATGTCTTTCATATTTTTCAACTGCACGAACTGAAGGATTAATCAGCTGATAGGCTCGTGGAAGTGTGATGTCATCTCTTTGTAGAGCTTCAGATAACAGTCCCATTTCCTGAACAGCATCCGCAACCCCTGCAAAGTTTAACAAATAATCTGATGTCAAGACCTTGTTAAGGCCACTAGATAGAGATTTCTGCTTACTGTTATGAGCTGAGCTTAAAGGACCACTCTAGGCACCCAGACCACTTCAGCTTAATGAAGTGGTCTGGGTGCCAGGTCCAGCTAGGGTTAACCCATTTTTTCATAAACATAGCAGTTTCAGAGAAACTGCTATGTTTATGAATGGGTTAAGCCTTCCCCCTAATCCTCTAGTGGCTGTCTCATTGACAGCCACTAGAGGCTTGCGTGCTTCTCACTGTGATTTTCACAGTGAGAAAGCATAGTAAAAAGCATAGTGAATGCTTTCCTAGGAGACCGCTGAATGCGGGCCAAGTGCCGCTGCGCATTCACGGCGTTTAACGGAGGAGGATCGAGGCAGAGAGCCCCAGCTGGAAAAAGGTAAGTTTAAACCCCTTTCCCTTCCAGAGCCGGCTGGGAGGGACCCCTGAGGGTGGGGGCACTCTCAGGGCACTATAGTGCCAGGAAAACGCATGTTTTCCTGGCACTATAGTGGTCCTTAAGCTTGCATGCAAGAAATGACTGTGTAGTGCAGGATATGACTCCCAAACTGCTCGTATAGCTCTCTGGCTTTAAGCAACCCATCTAACTGAAAAAAACTTTTCAAATTTTAAGAATTTGTACGCATTCTTTTGCACATTCAGAGATCTCTACCATTACTGCATGTGAATTTTGGAGATGTCTTTGTAAACTGGCACTTTATAAGAAATGTTGCACTGTATTTTCTTGGAAATAGATAGGCATACCAGCGTGTAATTATTATTATTTTTTGGGGGGGGGGGTGGTGTGAGTTCCCACACTTTTTTCCCCAGTATGTGACCCCTGATACCATATATTATGAGTGGAGGAAAGATTAATGTATTTCAGAGTAAAAATTCCAATACAGTGTCTTAACATTTACGCAAAATGGAAAGAGATGATTTGTTCCAGGAGAGCAAGTTCAAGTTCAAGAAAATTTATAACAAACTTACCGTAATTTTCTTTTCCTGGCTATTTCTCATGGCAGCCTCACTTATGGGTAGCTCCTCCCTTAGCAGTCACAGGACAGGAATTAATTAGATTAATTAGACTGATATGTATAAAGAGTCCCTCCTCCCCTTACACCTCAGTCCAGTTATAAAGCTGAAAAAAATCAAGAATGGGTGGAAACCCTGATGCTGCCATGAGAAATAGCCAGGAAAAGAAAATTACGGTAAGTGTTTCAAGAACGTCATCGGGGAAGACCAGGTGGCTGCCCTGCAAATATCATTGTATGGAACCTCTGCCCAATTAGCCCACGGAGTCGACAAAACCCTAGTAGAATGAGTTCTTATCTTCATTGGAGGAGATCGACCTTTCGAGATATATGCTTTCCTGATTACCAGTGAATTCCAATGTTTCAATGTAGATAAAGAAGCCACTTCAAAAACAAAGTTTTATGCGTCAGGAGGGTAGCATCCAAACCCTCAAGAGGAACAAACAGATCCTCCGTTAGGAAATTGAGTACCAGAGGAAGGTCCCAAGGAGCGGTAGTAGATCTGGAAGGAGGTCTCAACCTGAAAGCTGCCTTGAAGAACCTGGAGATCAAAGGATCCGAAGTCCATGAGATGTTGCTGAAAGCGCCGAAGACTGAACCTTGAGAGTGCTGAGGCTAAAGCCCTTATTCAGACCCTCTTGCAGGAACTCCAAGATCTCCGTATTGTGAGGATGCAGGAAGTCAACATTGTTGGTCGAAGCCCATTCCCGGAACACATCCCAGATCCTATGGTAGCATGAGGAAGTAGAGGCTTTCCTTGATTGCAAAAGGGTATTGACCACTGCTTCTGAGAGACCTAGTAGTTGAAGTCTTTCTTTTTCAAGACCCATACCCCCAATTTGAGGCGTTCCGGATGAGGATGGAATATTGAGCCCTGCGTTAGCAGATCCTCCATAACAGGAAGAGGCCAAGGCTATTCCTGGCTCATCACAGACAATAGGGGGAACCACGTAATTCTCCACCTGATGATTCTGGGAGGACGCCATCAGGTCGATCTGGGGCATGCCCCACTGCCGGGCAATCCATGCAAAGACTGCCAAGTGAAGTTTCCATGCTCCCGGAAGAATTTCCTTTCTGCTGAGGAGGTCCGCCGTCACATTCTCCGAACCTGGAAGATAGATTGCCTTCAGACCCTGTAGATTAGTCATGGCGATTGTCATCAAGGGAGCCAGCTCCTTCAAGAGCAATCTGCTTCTTGTGCCACCTTGGTTGTTCACATATGAAGCAACCGCTCAGTTGTCTGTTTTGATCAGTACCCAAAAATTTAAGATCCGCGGTAGGAACACCAAGATGGCCTTGGTAACAGCTCTCAGTTCTCTTAGATTTGAATGTAGCTGACTCTCCTCTCGGGTCCACTTCCCTTGAGTTCATGTGGAATCGAAGTGGGCACCCCAACCAAAAGAACTGGCATCTGTTGTAATAACCTTCCAAGGAGGTTCTTCCAGCGGGAAGTCTGTTGCCAAATTCTTCTTGTTCTTCCACGAGGTCAACCCTTTCCTCACGGGCAGGGGTAGAGAGATCCTTTGCTCCCAATCTGTTCCCACTCTGTCGAACTGGAGAAGGAAGCAATTCTGGACCGGACAAAACTTCCACTGGGCCCATTTTACCAACCCTATAGTTGATGTTAAAGAACCCTGGAGACTCATGACTTATCTTGCAGAGGCAGTCTCCAGACCTTGTAGCTTCCCTACTTTGTCTCTGATTTTTGAGACCCTTTCCGGAGACGGAAACACATGGGCAGATACGGTGTTTATCACTGCTCCGAGGAATATGATCATCTGAGAAGGAATCAGGGAGCTTTTCTCCACGTTCAGAAGCCAACCGTGGTCTTGAAGAATATTCATTGCCACCAACGTGTGATGAGCTACTGTCCTGTGAGATGGACCTATGATAAGGATGTCGTCCAAGTAATGGAAGATCTCGATACCTTTCCCCCTTATGAAGGCTATTAAAGTGACAAGAACTTTCGAGAATGTTCTTGGCGCCAAGCTGAGGCCAAACGGTAGTCCCCGGAACTGAAAGTGCCTTCCTAGCGCCCAGAACCTGAGAAACTTCATATGATCTTGGTTTACAGGGATTTGGTAGTAGGCGTCCCTCAAGTCTATGGAGGTCATCCAGTCTCCTCTTTTGATGCTCTTCAAGATGGACTGTAAAGATTCCATTTTGAATGTTCTTACGTCGAGCATGGAGTTTACACCCTTCAAGATGAGACGCCACTTTCCCTGGGGTTTTGGGGCCAAGAACACTGTGGAGTAAACCCCAAGGAACCTTTCCTGTCCTGGAACTTCTTCCACCACTGTTTGTTCCAGAAGAGTCGAAATGTAGGTCCTCATTGCCCTTCGTTTGATGCCTGCCAACACCCTGGATTTTTTTAAGAAAGCGGATTTTGGGCAAGAGGAGATGTGACCCACACGTCCGTAATATTTTTGGCCCACACGGGGTAGAAGAACTTCAGTCTTCCTCCCACAGTCCCTGAACGGGCCTGAAGACCTTCAGAAGTTCTTCCCAGAGGTTCTGGCTCCTCTTCCTCTGGAAGCTTTTTTGGAAGAAGAGTGTGAGAAAGATTTCCATGAGGAATTTCTGGAATACTCCCTTCCTGGTTTATAGCTCCGGCTGTCCCGAAAGGACCGATCCTTGAAGCGCTTATTCTTCCAGAAGGAGAATTTTAAAAAAATGCTTTTTTCCCCTCAGCAGTTTTTTGAATAGCATCCTCCAGGATTTTGCCAAATAGGAGATCCCTAAAGTCTTTGAGGCTCTCCAAAAGATGTTCCCTATGGACACCCCGATCAATGTCCTCCTCCAAATTTGTGAGCCACACTCTTAAGGCCCGGGAGAGAGTGGTCAGTGCTACTGCCGGATGAAGGGCGGAGCCCAGGGCCAAGTAGGCTTTAATCAAATCACCATCCACACGCTTTTCCATAGGCTCTCTGAGATATGCCATGGAGCCAATTCTTCTGTGTTTCTTGTTGTTTTTTATTTACTGGTCAGTTTGCCTCTGGCCTTTTTATTGGGAATGGTGTTTTGAATTTCCTTTGATTCTCATTTGTAGTATGGATTCTCCCTCTGCCTCTGCAAGATCCCTCTCTAGAAAACATAGGTGAGCCATTAATTTTTTTTTTTTTTTATGGGGGGGTTGTTAAAAGAGTGCCAAGCTAAGCCTGTAATATGTTTATATATGGCTTTATTTCAGCCCCAGCAAGCATCTGGATTCTCCAGCAAGGAAATCAAAGGAAAAGTCCAACAAATGCATTAATTGTTCGTCGCCTGCTCCGCATTGGAATGAACCTTTGCAGGGAATGCTTATTGGAAGCGGCAGATGCCCCCAGTGGGGGTTCCCCACAAGATGACCTTAAGCTCTGGATTTCCCAAGCTATTGCGGAGGGCTTTAAGTCTCTGGAGAAGACATTGATATGTGGGAGGTCTCAGATGATGGTCAGGAGGAAGTTGAATATACCTCCAGGTCTCTCGACTCAAAGTCTATTGATAGGCTTATTACCCTTCTCAGAGACACTCAGTCTCACAGAAGAAAAGTCTGTATTGAGAGAGGCTGACAGGTTCTTTGAGGACCTAAAACTGAATAGACATACCTTCCCGGTGCATTCCTCGATCAGGGACATAATCCTTCAAGAATGGAATAAGCCAGAAAGGAAATCCACCTTGAAAAATAAAATCACGAGGATCTATCCTTTCTCTGCCGTGGACTGCTGCCTATGGGATTCAGTTCCTAAGATTGATACTGCTGTGATTCATATGGCAAAGAAAACTACGCTTCCTATGGATTCCAAACACGGCCACCATATTCACAGATTACCTGTAGCCGTGTTTCCCTCAGAACACCAAATCCCACGCAGCAGTTCAGTACTTACACTAAACCTGACCCAGTTAGTCCTGCTCATGCAGGCTGTTTACTGGGTCCTTCAAATGAAGAGAGGCTGCACTTCATTTGGAACGAACCCACGACAAACGCAGGAAGGTAGCCATAAAATTAAATGTAAAAAGTCCTGTAGAACCAGCTGACAGGAAAAAAGACTGAGGTGTAAGGGGAGGAGGGACTCTTTATACCTATCAGTCTAATTAATTCCTGTCCTGTGACTGCTAAGGGAGGAGCTACCCATAAGTGATGCTGCCATGATTACCAGGAAATTAACATTCCAAACCTATTGTACCGTTTCAATACCCGCTCACATCTTGGATTCTTGTTTACCAAATGTAACGGACCGTTTTGCACACTAGGGGTAAAAACCGTTTAGGCGATCGTCCCCCTTTCCAGAGATGCAGGCACAGCTATTGTAAAACACCAAACACACGAACCGCCAATAAGAGAATGCTCCAAACTCCCGAACGGCATCCAATGTAACACTCCAAACACATGAACTGGAACCATACGAATCGCTGCTAGCAGACGAATAGGAAAAGCATCCAAACGGCTTACACTCCTAGCAATCAGTCTCTATCAGCGTTCAGTAAATCCCCCCAAAGACGAGACAAGGCTCCGTGTTGGGGGTCAAGCAGTGGTCTGTTTAATGAGGGCTACCTGCTCAGTATTTATGCAGGTCTCCCACCTGGTGGACACTCCCCTAGGGGACCAAATGGGAGACTGTGACAAAAGACAGACAATCAGCCAAACAGGACACAGTCACATTTTATTCCCACAATGCATCCTGGCTTTCTCCCCTCTGCCTTGGAGATAATTGAGAAGTAATTCAATTATCTCCCAAGACAAAGGCAAATCGCCATTATGCACGTGGGGATACTAAAACAGTAATTCCTATGAAAATACACTATGTGAGACATACAACATTAAAAGCATACATTTAACATATCCCCAGATAGCCCAGATTATTAAGCGAATGGCGCTCAGACCATGGAGCCAAAGTCTTTACACAGTCATTTCTCATACGAATGGGCTCCATGGGATTCCTATCTGGGGTATAACATAGTCAGGTAAAACTCCCGAACGCCAGGCCGTTCATGCACTCCCGCCGAACAAGAAGGGAGGTCGGCGGCTTCAGCGGTGTTCGCGCCAAACTGTGTCCGTTTTTAGTTCCATGAGTGAGGCGTCGAACACCGCTGTGCGTTTGCATGTTTAAAATGGCCGCGACCTCGTGTTCGTGATACGAATGGCGGCCACCCAGCATCCGTCAATTAAGCTGCGGAGGCTAATTGCCGGCACACTCCAGCTCCCGGGTGGTCCAGTCATTCGTGCGGTTGTTCAGTAGATTGAATCTACCGAACACCAGGCAGAAAAGAACGAATAAGTCTTTTCTGCAGGTAAAAAAAATATGTCTTTTAACATGGGGCCATAGTCTAAAGGCAACAGGCGAGCAACCAGGCTTCTCCAATGCAATGTGCAGAGATTGCTCTCGTCACACAAAACATTCAGTCTGGCATAGAAATATTTATAATAGCCAAATAACCGAAGCACATCGCTAAAGAAACACTAGTCACCTAAACAACTTTAGCTTCATGAAGCAGTTTTTGTGTATAGATCATGCTTCTCAGGTTTCACTACTCAATTCACTGCCATATAGGATTTAAATCACTTTGTTTCTGTTTATGCAGCCCTAGCCACACCTCCCCTGGCTCTGATGGACACAGCCTGCATGAACAAAAACTGGTTTCACTTGCCAATCATATGTAATTTACCTTAAACAATTGTATCTATTTCTTTGTAAATTGAACTTTAATCACATACAGGAGGCTCTTGCAAGCTATTAACATAGCAGTGGATATGAAAATCTAAATTAAAACAGAACTTGCAATAAAGGAAGGATAAACTGTAGATGACTCTTTACATGAAGAGTTTAGGGAGGCTGTGCAAGTCACACGCAGGGAGGTGAGACTAGGGTTCATAAAAGTGATTTAACTCTTAAATGGCTGAGAATTAAGCCGTGAGACTGCAGGGACATGATTTGTACACCAAAACTGCTTCATTAAACTAAAGTTGTTTTGGTGACTATAGTGTCCCTTTAAATCATGGTTACGGTTTTCTTGACTGATCGCAAAGAGCTTTAAAGGTAGTGTGCCAACCTTTTGTAATTTGATTGTTAGTATTTCTTTTTTTCTACACTTGATCAGATATTGTGGTCCAGACTTTTTATTTTTGGTTTTGGAAAAATAAAGAAATCATTTAACAGACTATTATTAAACAAATGTTTCAGAAAGCATGTTTAACAGAAATAATATAATATAGTATAATTTATTGTTTGTTTTGTAAGATTGCATCTTGATTCCTTAATGTATACATTTAAAAAAATAAATAAATAAGGCCCTGCACGAATAAGCTTACAATCTACGAGGAAGAGGTTTTTTCATACATGAGGAATAACAGCATGTCAGAAATAAGGAGAAATTGCTAGATAAAATGCCTGTGTCGAAGTAAGAGTGATATGTGGAAGAAGAGAGAGTTAGCTGGGCTATGGAGATGAGGGAAATGAGGAGGGCAATTGAAATGAGAGGAGCAAGATTGTAGAAGTTCCTAATGCAGTGTGTTTTCAGTCACTTTTTAAAGGACTGGAGGCTAGGGGAGAGTCAGGTTTCTTTTGAGAAGGGAATTCCATAGGAATGGAGCAGCCCAAGAAAAATCTTGCATGTGAGAGTTGGCAAGTGCGGAACCGAGGAGAGATCAGGTCACTTGCGCAGTGAAGCGAACAAGAAGGGATGTATTTGATAGCCGAGCAAGAAAGGTAGTGAGAAGTGGAATTATTGAGGGCCTTGTAGGTTAAAGTTACCAGTACAACAATGATCATGAAGGGTACAAGGAATACAATGTAATGATTGGCAAAGTGAGTAGTGGTCAGCCAGAAAGATAAACCTTGAGGCAGCATTCATTACATACTGAATGGGAACTGTGAGGCTTGGGGTAATAGATATCCCATTAATGTGCAGAGAGATAGATGGAGGTGGACAATTTGAAGGGGGAAAGATGTTTTCGAAACATTAAATTTTAGAAAATGGGAAAACATTCAGTAAGAAATGGAATTGAGGCAGTTTGCAACACATTCCAGGATGTCAGGGGAGGAGCGCTAAAGTATCATCAGCATTTGAACCAGGGTTAGGCACCCTTTGGAACTTCATATCTTGCTGACATCTCTCTAGAATCTAGATACTTTGCCAGAATTATGGCAGTTAAGCATTATGGGAGATATAGCCCATAACATCTAGAATACTGAAGATTGCCTACCCCTGATATAGATAGTATTGAAATCCATCAGCGTTAATAAGGGTAATAAATGGCATATAAACCTAGTTACCAAGTATAAATTCCATATGTTCAGCTTGTTAACTCTTATGGATTACAATAGAATGACAATCAAAAATATGTTAAAAGAAAAACATTAATTTAATCATCACACGAAGGTTGGTTCAGGCTTCAGGTTGCCCCTTCTTAGTCAAACCACTCGAAAATTGTTGACATCACAACCTGCTGTGTTATACGTTTAGATAGGGATAAAGTTATATGCAAATCCCATTATTCTCATCTAAAAGTCAGTTTTCCAGGCAAGTAAAAAGTCACCAGAACAACACTTAACTATTGAATCATCTATTTAAAGTGCAAAGGAAAGCAAAAAAAAAAGGTATTAAAAAATATAAACAAAAACACAATCATATTTATAAAAACTTTTTATTGGATCGACATAGTTAACACACACAATATCTTCTTAAGATATTGAGAAACTGTATTGAATTTCTACACGGCTGCAGCAAAATTAGATAAAAGAAAAAGTGAACAAGACAAAAAAAAAATTGCTGCAAAAAGACACTATTATAGCAGAAGGATTCTAAACAAATGCTTAAAAGCCTTTATGTTGAATATCAACAGTCATCCACAGAAGTGTTTATGTACAGGATTTACTGGTATAGATCTTCACGGTCAGCCGAATACACCTCACCCTCCTGCAACAGGGCAAAATTCAGAAAGTGCGATGGGCGGTGAACTTCATGGTAAAACTCCTTAGGGTTGGCAAGCTGTAACTCATATTTCATGTTTGGATCATGCCTTACACCTGAAAGACAGTTATATGATGAAGAGGCAATCAAATCAGATTTCAGTAAAATTCCTTAATTCTCATTAATAATAGCCTACTGAAAGCAAAAACTCATCCCGAACATTTTTTTTGTTTTATCATAATTGGAAGGAACCAAGGACCTATTTGCAGACTTCAACCTCCAGGTGCCAAAATCCGTTCTTTTCACAAATTCAAATAAATTTCTGCCAAGTGACTGACTGACTACAACATTTCAATAAGACCAGTCTAACCAAGACCTCAAAATATGGGTCAAAAACTTGCAGGAAAAGTATACAGGACTTTTGAGTCACTAATGGGACTTAGGAATTGATTGCATTTAAAAGTTTTTCTTGATTTAAACTAACTTTCTACAATAATTTAAGAATTGTTTAGATTTTTTTTTTAAAATATTAAAAATATTATATATTACTATTTAAAAAAAAAAAAAAAACAAACAAAAAAAATACAACATAGGTTTACTTTTCTGCAGCATATAGAACATGGATGTATTTTTATTTATGACAATACAAACTTGCAAATGCCACTGCTGTAGTGATGGATTCACCCAAGCAAGGGTCAAAGCAACTTAAAATGCTTTATTTCCACTTTAGCAATTTGTGTCGCTTAGAAAAAGTCCAACTCTACTGAGAAATAGCCTACACTTACCCATGAAGTTGTAGTTCCAAGATGACTGTCCTGGCACCATGAAGAATCCAAGGAAGCGATCAGAAAGCAGCATCTGAACTCTTTCATAATGAGAAGGCAGGTACCCTTTGGGATTGTTACCTTTGTCTGTATTCTGTCTGCCCCACTCATACCCGCTGGGTGTCAGCTTATAGGCAGTCAGTGTGCAGGAGCCTGGTGTAAAACTGGAAACAAACCACTTTGTTAGTTAAGTACCAATAAGGTTACACTGTTCTACATGAAAGGAAGATAAATGTGGAAGATACCAGATTTCAAAGTGAAAAAGAGGAGTCAAACATTGATAAAATGATTTACAAAGTGCCACTTAAATTATTCCACAAGTTCCAATTGTAATGGAATATTATGTACCTGCACGTGATAATTATAGTTTTCTCTCCATCCCATGCTGGATTATCTGCCATGATCTTGGCATGAGTGGTGACGTCTTGAGGCGACAGCTGTGGAGACTCATTTGGCTGAGTGTGAACCCATCCCAAAGGCTCCATTTCCTAAAGAAAGAAAGAAAAGAAGAAAAAAAAAGATTAAAATTACATGCAGTTCAAAAGATGGGCAGACACGAAGAATTCCTCTATCTGGGATGTTAGCAAATTCAAACTCTCCACACAAACATTTGCTACTAAAATATACTTTTAATACTCCCAACAAATTGCCCACTCTTTTTGAAGCTGCTTGCCTCACATACACAGACGATTTTTCAATTTCTACTTTCTATTAGTACCTACTTCTGAACAAATCAAAGTTTAATTTCTCTAATTTATCAAGAAGTAGGAGTCAGATATGATCAACAACCAACCTCATGAACACATCTGTCACATTAATAGTCTCTGGAAGAATGTATTCAAAATCTCTCAATCTAGATAGGAAATCCACATCATTTAAGGGCAGCTGCACAGCTTCCAAAATGGTGACAGATTACATAGACTAGTCGTAGAGTCATCTGCTCAGTTATTGATAAACATAAAGTAGTATTCCTTCCACAGAACAAACAATGTCCAAAGTTTGATGCAACAAGATTTATGGAAAGCCTCAAAAGCTTCTATTCAAGTTATTGGCAGCCATGGATTTTAAATATAAACCTTAGAGACATTCCATTTGGAGCTGTAGCTACAACATCTTTCTCCACCTATAAGTCCCTCATGTGAGACGTGGGTCCTATTCATCCAAATAGCCCCTCTACATCTTCCTGGGTATGTCCCCTAATCTCCAATCAGTCTCCACCCCCCTCCCCCCCCACATTTTCTCACCCTCTCTTTAAAATGCTCAATTTAACTCTCCACTGAAATACGTATTTATAATTAAAGTATAGAAAGGAGAAACAAAAGGGTGAACCACTTAGTAGGTGAACCCCTCTGAATAGCGAGTAACCCAGATAAAACTTAACTTTTAATAATTATTATATATAAAATGTAGTGGAAATGCTCAGTCTCAATATATAGTAGGAGTAAGCAGAATAAGTATAACGTCTGCTTTAATAGGAAAAATCCCCAGAATTACATAAAGAAAATTGAGTGAGATTATAAAAGTAATATCTAAAGATACAGAAAAAGTAAATGGACAAATATAAATAATAAAAGTAAAATAAAAAATTAATTAAAGTCCAATAATATCTCACTGTGAATCAGTGGTAGTTAGAAGGGGGAAGATGATTACAGATACAATGTATTGTGGCAAAACGTAAAGCCTTGCAGAAGATCGTAGTAGTTTCTAAGGAGAGAAAGCTAATAGAAAGACTAGCTTCCCTACTCTACTGTGCCTTCGAGGGCACCCCTTAAAAAAAATGCTAGTAACCCCCTCTCCTCCTCTTAGTAAAGTAAATGCAGTTCGTCAAACAAAACCACAGAACAAAAAACAAAAATAAAAAATCATTTTCCTCCTTCTGGTTTATTAAACAAGCAACATATGTAACTTTCAGCTTGTTGTTACATTTGTTGCAAACCTTGTACCTACCCCTTGCAGTATTCGATTTGCAGTATTTTTTGCAAACCGTGTACCTACCCCTTGCAGTATTCGAAGGGACACTATAGTCACCTGAACAACTACAGCTTAATGTAGTTGTTCAGGTGAGATCTATAGCTCCCTGTAGGCAATCTAATGTGAACACTGTATTTTCAGAGAAAATACAGTGTTTACATTGATAGGAATACCTCCAGTGGCCATCACTCAGACGGCCTCCAGAGGGACTTCCTATCATATATGGCCCTAAAAAGGCCATGTACACGTCAGACGTATTAAAATACGTCTGACGTGTGCAGCAGAGAGAAGGCACTGTGTGCGCGCCTTCTCTCTCCTCCCTGTCAGCAGAGGAGAGGGGGCAGGCAAAGACAGTAGTGCGCTCAGGACTTTATATGAAGTATGTGCACATGTGCGGCAAAGAAGTGAATGCCCACAAGGGAGCAATGACGCTTCCAAATGGAAGCATCTGATTGCTCCCTGGTCGTGCCCGCCTATTTCGTCATTTTGACGAATAAGAGGTGCAGCTTCACGAGGGTCCCGGCACTGGAACCAGGTGAGTAAAACAAGCTGCCTGGAGAGTCCCTTTAAGCTTCTAACTACCACTGATTCACAGTGAGATATTATTGGACTTTAATTTTTTATTTTACTTTTTTTATTATTATTATTATTTGTCCATTTACTTTTTCTGTATATTTATTTAGATAATATTACTTTTATAATCTCACTCAATTTTCTTTATGTAATTATGGGGAATTTATTTCTCCTATTAAAGGCAGACGTTATACTTATTATGCTTACTCCTACTATATATTGAGACTTAGTATTTCCACTACATTTTATATAAAAAATACTTAAACGTTACGTTTTATTTGGGTTACTTGCTATTCAGAGGGGTTCACCTACTAAATGGTTCACCCTTTTGTTTCTCCTTTCTATACTTTATTCATTCTGGGGGTTATCCCCCCTACCTTAGAGTAACCTGACACCTTCTCCCTGATAGGTTTCTTTCTCTCTATATTTCACGTATTTATAATTTTATTACATGAAATAAATTACACAAAATGTCATCAACCTTTATCCAAAAATTTGCAATTGCTACTTTGTAAAAAGCATTATTCTAATAAAAATCAGTATTCCTGCTATTCCTCATGCAACCCTATGAATCCGATCTTACCTTTAGATATTCATGCTGTGGCAATTGGTTGGGCAGATGTACAGTTTGATGTGTTCCCCATTGTGGCACCATAACAATACACCGGATTTCCTTTACTTGAGGGTTATCAGGTGGGCTCACACCATACAGATACCCCGCAATCTACATAAGAACATAGACAAAAACATAAATCAATACTTGAAGTTTGGCAAGCTATTAAAAAAAAAAAAAAAAACAGCTGAACAATCAACTGCACCACATTTAGACCATTGCAAAAAATAAGCACAAGGGCAGTCACACATAACTTGTACATTTGAGGGTGTTCCTGGATAAGAACTAACGATAGTAGATCAAACTACATGTAAATAAGAATTTCCACAGATCATATCTTGTGTTTCACATTTCAAGCTCACAAAATTTATTCACAACGGAGAGTTTTTACAGAATTCTCACTGACCTGAGCACGAAGATCAGAGATGCAAATGAACTTCTTCAGGACGTTCTTGGGCAATATATAGGTGTACCCGGTCTCTTTAATATCATCAGAAGACACATAAATGTGATTGGTTCTCAGGTGAAGGTTAGCTGCAGATATCGCCCTATTTGGAAAAAGCATTTAGCAATTAGAAAAGACAGAGAGTAGGTTTTGTTTATTTTTTTGCATTTGGCTGTACTCTACATTTTCACTAGTTAGTGGTGTATTATTGTTCATTTTATATACAATGCACTCTGCAAGGAAAAAGCCATCAGTGTGAAGCATATAGTCATTCAGTGCTACATATGGTGATGGTCAGGTCTTTAAATCAAAAAAGCAATCTTAACTTGGTTCAATACACCAGTTTTGAGTAAAAACAAACAACAGCTACTACGTCATTAAGTAAGGCAAAACAAAAGATCAAAATTAAACCAGTAATCAAACATAGTTTTCCACAGAACAATTTGTTTATGGCACAAGTGAAGTTTATTACAATAAAGAGTGTAATATCTTCACAGGCTAACTCCTGAAACCATTGATTTAACTCTGTGCACAGTTCCTCGCCACGGATTATATGCACATAGGAATATTCTGTTTAGTATCGTGAAAGCTTAACGTTTTTGTCCTGAACAATCTGTACTGCTACAAATTAGCACATAAAATCGACCATAACCAAGTTGTGTCACTTTTACAACTGCCTAATAATGAAAAGCTAATTGCGGGGATTACGGGTTTCAGTTTCTCTGATAGACTGAACAATTCTACATTAAAAGAAGAAAATACTGGATACAGCAATTTCCCTATCCAGTACTAGCTGTCAGACTAGATTACAACAGAGACAGAAAAACTGCCCATATATTATTCCATTCCCTGCCCATTTACCTGACACGCCATTCTGTCTTGGATGAGAAGGTCTGTGTTTCGTAGTTGCTGGTTGTGGATGTGATTATCTCATCTCCGTGTTTGTTGACAGTACGGGTCTGTGTAGCAGTGAGCTGGGACTGTTCCTTCGTCTGCTTCTCAATCTCTGCAATCTGCTGTCTCTGCTGGGATGGGGCTGAAATTTCCATACCCAATATAATGTCTCTGATCTCAGACTGTGTTAGGGAAGCCACATTCACACTAGGGAGAGAGAAAAAACAAAGTTAGTGTTCGAGTTAAGCTATCTTGGATAGTGCACACTGCTTTTGGCTACTGAAAGGTACTTCTTTGGTACAGAGTTATCCTCATGGTCTGTCCAAAACATTTTAAACCACTATGTTTGTGTGTCGACATTTCTTTTAAACATTTCCTTTAATAGGAACTAGATAAAGTATTGACTACATTAACTGATTGATTACATAAGAAGTAATTAACAACCAGAAGTTAATTATAGCGTGATCCTTACTTATTTTTCTTGCCATAATCAGCCAAAATCAGATCCTTCAGTTGCACTTCAACCTTAATCCATTCTTCGTCGGTTAGTGTGGGCCAGATGTGATGGGGTTCTGTGATTGTAGTTTTGTCTGGTTTTAGAATGACCTTTGCCCGGTCATTATTGACATGCAAGGCTCTCAAAATTAAAATCAAACGAGAGAATGCCTGTATAGGAGATATTATGTTTAGGACTGTGAATTTATTTAAAACAATTTTTTAAAGTTAAAATACGGAATTGTTGCTGTAGAATAAGGTCTAATATATTAAAATGAGACTGAGCAGATGCATATATAAACTAGAAGCAGTAATCGAAGGGCTCACAGTAACGGATTATGAAAACAGCAAAGTCTGCGAACACAATCTAACAGTGTTCTTTCAAGGTTGATCAACCATCCAAAATTCAAAGATGGCATAATTCTATTAGAGTGTTAAAACCTGAACAACATTTATTGCCCTTAGCAATACAATTTTAAAAGCACTGACTTAATATTCTGGAAAACAAGGAAAATCTAAATTTTACTTTGACTCATGCGACCACATAAAATTTCTTAAAATGTACCGTAACAGATTGACATGTACCGTGTATGAAGAAATGGTCTTCAGCCAGTCATCATAGAGATTGAAGAGAACCATCTGAGGCTCTGTAGCCTTCAGAATCAGATCTCCAAACTTCTCCACCTTCAGACATGCCTGGAAAGGCAGCTGCAGCTCAGATCCTTTGATTACAATGTTAGGGAAATCCAGCAAATGGACCTTAAATTCAAATATGGAAAAGTTACAACCAAAAACCTATAATGGTCCCAAAAACACACATATTCCAATGATATCCCCTTTAGAGGTTATATATAATGAGTTTTTGCTTTTCTTTGAAATTCCTCTAACACAACTTACCTCAAGAGGATCCAACATTCCTTTTCTTGTAACAATAATTTGCTTTGGCTGTTCCTCCACAGGCAGTGATCGAATCAAAGCAGCCACTTCTTCTGCAGTTTTCCATTTTGCCAGCTAGAAAAAAAAAACACAACGAAAAATTCTAAGTTAAATGTACCGTGAAAGTAGCTAAAATAACATCTAGAAATTCATTTCAAGAGGGTGCAACGAAGGGCTTTGAGTCCAAAACTTAAATCTGTATAAATTAAACGTTTTCCTTCTAAACTATGAACAAAAGAAATGAAACCTAGAACAAAAATAGCAATAGTTGGAAAAACATTACTAGTGAATTTTCACTTTTTTTTTTTTTAAACATTTAGTTAATTCTGTTTGACCAATTAATTAGAGCAGGGGTTCCCAACCCGGTCCTCAAGTACCCCCTACCAGTCCAGGATTTAGGGATTAGCCTGTTCTGTATAAAGTGTTTAGTTTTTTTCCGTTTTCTAAAATCACATTAGAAACAGCTATGTAATCCTTAAATCCTGGACTGTGAGGGGGTACCTGAGGACTGCGTTGGGAACCACTGACTTAGAGGATAACATTCCTGTTTTATCTCAAAGACAAAAAACATGGGTAATCCATTTATCTTCTAGGCAACAAGTTTAAATAATTATGTTAAAAAAAGCTTATAAAGCTTCACACTCACTTTTTTTCTCAGTCTAAGGAATGTCATCTGGCAGGTACGTTAGGGTTTCAAAAACAACCCGATTTACATATATACACATAGAAAAGGGACATTGCAGGATCTTTGAAAGTTAATCAGCTCTCCAATTTAAATAGGAGGATTAGTATTATTAGATTTATAAGAGATCAATAAAGTCACATGCATTTTTATACATACCTGACCCAAACGCTTTTGTCCTGCCCACACAGATGTGTGAATGATTTTCAGGAAGAGCTGTCCAGTCCTGGGGTTAAAGATGAAAATGGCTCCATTGATTGGCTTTGTTGTCAAGTTACCTTCAAAAGTCTAAAAATAAAAGGTTAGTAAAAAAAAGTTAGTTTTTGGAAGAAAGCATTCCAGGTTGAGCACAGGCAGTTGACAAATAACTATATGATGTGCATTATAACTGCCCTCAAGAGAATGGTCTAAAACAGGGGTGCCCAAAATTTAGAACCCCACATGTTTTTAAAACTACAGCTTCCATGATGCTTTGTCATTCTAAAGACATGCAAAGCATCATAGGAGTTCTACAACATATAGGGATCTACCTTTTTGGCACCACTGGTCTAAAGAACTCAAGTAATTTGTAAACTGGCATAAATCAAATATACAGTAAGGGGTGATTATGCATGTAGTTCAGTATTGGCAACACAGTGTTCTGAATTTATAACCATGGAGTGGCCATTTATAACAAGTAAACAGTAAATAACCCCACTCCCCCTTTAAAAAATAAAATAATTTTTTTTTAACATTAATCCACTGTTTTTGAATGAGCAACACAGTGTCATGCTTTACATAAAAAAAAAAAAAAAAAAAAAGTTTAAAAAAAAAATACCTTGTGGATGGTCACTCTGTACACATTTGTGTCATCCACAAACCAGATGATCTGATTGGAGAAGAGCTCTCCGTAGTTCTGGGAGGACAGGTAAGGCTCAGTGGGCTCTGAGGAGTACAGTTGTAATCCCTTACGGATACGCTCACGCAGTACATACAGAGCAGGGTTTGCTTTCATGATCTTTGCCATAGCTTGCTGTATTAGAGGCTTACCACCAGGGAACCAGTTTCCATAGGCACTGAAAGTATTTAAAAGTAAAATTAATTAAATATTTACATAGATAATGACAGCCCTCTCCCTCAACAATCACACTCCTGCAAATTATATATGAAAGAAAATCTCACCTGTGCAGATTGTAAGCCAGGTCAATAGCAATGAGAACACCAGTAGGTGATGGGTAGATACTCATGTTATCAGTAGTATAGTCCAGGAACTTGGCTCTGGCATATCGCTCAATATCATGAGAATCGTAGTCTCCCCATCTCAACTGAATATCAATCCAGTACTTCTGGGTGGTGGTGCTGTCCATGACATCCCTGGGGAAAAATACACATTAATTTTTTTTTCTCTCTAGTAAAACGAGTTGGAGTCAAGAATTTTAATTCCTTTAACACAGAAATTGGTTTATCTACGAATATGAAGTTTTACAGCAAGGAAGATACAATTCTATGCTCTGACCCAAAAAAAATAAAATAAAGTTGCAGTGTTTGCTCCACACCCTGTTGCATTTATTGGCCAATGCTAGGATGTTAAAGGGAAACTCCAGTGCAGGTCCCCTCTCCCTCCTCCCAATCCCCGGTTGCTGAAGGGGTGAAAACCACTTACCAGAAGGAGCGACGTCCCACGTCGCTGCTTCTTCCTCCACTCCTCCTCTGCATTACGTCGGTGGGAGAGACTGATCCTGCCCGCCGGCCGGGGAGACCTATGCGCATTAGAGCTCCCCATAGGAAAGCATTGAAAATGCTTTTCAATGCTTTCCTATGGGGAATAGAGTGACGCTGGAGGTCCTCACACTGCGTTAGGACGTCCAGCGACCGCTCTAGCACAGAAAGTCTGTGCTAGACACAGAAGTGGAGTTAACCCTGCAAGGTAATTATTGCAGTTTATAAAAAAACTGCAGGGTTAAGGGTAGTGGGAGTTGGCACCCAGACCACTCCAATGGGCAGAAATGGTCTGGGTGCCTGGAGTGACCCTTTAAGAGTTACTTAAAATAATTTTTAATCCAAACAGGAGTAAAGCTATGTTTAAAGCACTGACAAAAAGGAAATCAAGCAAAATGATCCACATACTTTGAATCGGCAAGCAGGGAAGGTCTGGACACATTCCATTTATAGGATGCAAAGAGGAGAATATCTGCACAAGATGAATTCATTTTATAGGATTTCCTGGGGTGGATGGTCTCCTTCTGAACAGTCTCAATCTCAAGAGCATCCAGTTCCTGGTCAAATACCTGAAACACAGTTGACACTTTTTAGATTCAGTAAACAGTCTACATTTATTTAAATAACGCTTTACTCAATAATTTCCCGTGCCAACATATGTACTTTCACCAAGCTTGACATTTTGGAGAAATCAGCCTACACACATTAATCTTTACTACTAAATTAAATATAAATCTGATTATAAAAAATGCTACAAATGTTTCATATGTTACAGAATATTCAGCCCAGAACTACACAATAAATGACTAGTACTGCAAAGAAAAAAAAAAAAAAAAAAAACCCTGGAAATTATGGTAATATACAATGCATTAAGTAATATAATACTGCATGATCAAACCAGATGGCAATGCATTACATAGTCTTTGGTCATTGTGTCAAACTGCAGATTTATAGAATATGGTGGGGGTTTAGATTTTTGTGTTTTTTTTTAAGTTGTAAAACAATTTCACATTATTCAACAGTGATTTAAAGTGCAACTCACCTGACACAAATCCATGACAATGCTCTCATGAATTTTTTGCCACAAGTGGGCCCTGAAGATCTGAATCAAGGAGATCTTCAATGTTGGAATCTTGCCGTGCATGAAAATACCAGTCAAATCCAATTGCACCTGGAATCCGACATACACCTAACAGGGAGAGACGGGATGATGTGAGCATGAAGAATTAATTCAAATAATAAAAAAAACAAACAACAAAACTTCTCAGCTGTGATGGCACACATACATTTGCTCTGTTGATTGTGGGAGACCACCAGAGAGTGAATCTTCTGTTAGGAATCTGGTTCAGACCAGACCTCTGAGCATTAGTCAGCTTCTTCCACTTCATAGATTCTTCAAAGCCGCTAGCTTTTTCCCTGATGACAGCAAGTAAACAGCAATTAAAAATAAAGTTTACAAATAAAATAAGACACGGGTACATGCATAAGATATTAAAAGTAGACATTATCTTCAACTAAGTGGTAGACAATTTACAGATTGTGCCAGTCATATCTGTGAAAGTTACAGGCTTTTTTGAGTTGGTATTCCAGAATGCCATATAGATCATGACGAGCCAAAAAAAGTATAGGATATTTTTCAAATATGAATCTATTGCTAATTCATATAGCACAGTACATTCAGAACCTTTTCTTTACAGGATATCAAGGATTTATTGCTCCAAAGTCAGTTACTGATCCACACCCGTGGGGATATATATCCTAACAATGGTGATAGTGACCCCACAACTGATAAAATGCTGCAGATTAAGCAATATTTCTCATACCAGAAAAGACCCTCCCAAGTAGGAAAGTATGTGCCTTTGAAAAGGGTGTGCTCCAAAATTCCCTCAACTCCACCAAGAGCCTGGATCATGTCTGTTCGGTAATTATTCAGATTCCATAACTTTCCGTCATGGCGCTGATGTGTCCACCAGAATGGATTCTGTTTTAGTACCTGTAAACCATAAGATTATATCAGCATTGGGATTCTAAGAAAAACATGAAGTCAGAAACCATCATCTAAAATTAGACATGCTTTACCTGGTACTGTTTGAAATCTGTGCGAACTCTCCAGCCTTTGTCATACGCCAAGGTATGTCTGTCCTTCTGGAACAGAGTGTTAATACGTGGAATACCTCTATCCCAAGAATCCTCCAAATCTTCCAGAGTTAGACGTCTGAAATAAGTGACTAGCAGGTAAATAACAGTTATCCACAAAATGAATCATCAAATTAAGACATAAAGCAGTTTTTACCTGTTTTGGGCAATAGCCTCTTGCCTCTTTAAGGCATATTCAGCCCAGACTCGTTGAGAGTCAATGAATTCACTTTCCCATGGCTGGATGTAACGGTACAAGTTAGGAATCAGCTGATCCTCCTCGTGACTCATGCCAGAACGGAAATGGGTAATGCCAACATCTGTCTGCTTTGACCACCTATCCAAAAGAGAAATGTACAAAATAGTTTAAAATTGTTTATTCAAAGACCCATTATTAAAGTAGCTCTATAACCAAAAATATCCTTTATCTAATCTGCGCTTACTTAAGTGCCTGTCTGAATCTCTATTTTTCTTGAATGTTCTCGTTATCAACAAACACAAATAAAAGTAGGGACAACTTTTGACTATGTTTAACAGTCAAGCTGACAACGGGCAAAGCTTATGCCAATTTTCTGTTTCAGTGGCCAATCAAATTTGTGCACAATACATCAGTAAAATCAATTCCACAGAAGTGCAAACATTCAACACAACGAAGAAATGAGAATATTATATATATGCAAAAAACACAACTAGACTTTTACAAATTTTAAAAAATGCCACATGACCGTAAACAGCTTAAAATAAGGACTGTTGGACGCTTATTCTGCAGCCGCCTAATGCACATAATATTTACAGAGAAACAAGAAAGATGTGTATTTCATAAAACTGATAAAATTACCTGAGATCTGACTGTGGGATAAGCACATGTCCCATGGACAGCATTCCCAGACCTCCCAGTTCCTTAGGAGTGTAGAAGACAACAGGTGGGAATCTGCTGGGCATCTTGGAGTTCAGTCCAATTTTTATTCTTGTTTGGATCTTATTTTCACATTTCACCAACAGATCAAGTAGTTCCTGCGTGTTTACCACAGCTTCACGGAAATACGTCATCAGACCAATCAGTGCAGTATTCCACTTGTTCACAATCTGAAGGCACAATTTGTCCATTAGAATAATTGCTAGACATCCATTTTTTTTGTTTTTTGTTTTTAATGAAGAGACAGAAAAAAAATCCCTCCCAAAACCAATAAATAAAATGAGCACACCTTGGTAAATGTAGTTGAACCAGAGGCCATAAGAATCTGACGGACTCTGTTGTGGAATCGCTGCATGGATTCGTCATCCACTCTCAGGAAGCACTGAGCAGTGCGCTCTTTTGTCACCTAGAAAGCAGAACATACCGTCATAAAACAAAAAAAAAAACCTAACTAAATAAGAGTCAATAGCATCAGGTTATGAAAGTTGGACAATCTTGCCTCATTTTGCAGATTCCAGACACCATCCTTGTGTGTAAATTCTTCATAGCTGGTGCGACATTTGGGAAGAATGCGACATTCAAAGCCACACATGTTGAAAAGCAGATTGGGATTATCTTTGCTGTACACAGACACAAAGCTGTTTTCCCATTGTACAGTTGTGACTGAACGAGGCAAGCGATTTTTGATGTCCCAAAATACAGCTCTTCCACTAAAAAAAAAATAAATAAATAAAAAAACAGTAAAGAAAAGGAAGGGGGACAACTGTAATGTATGTATGACAGAATTAGGCATACAATGATTCCTTTTTATCATCCAAACAAAATCTATGTAGAAGTACACAGGGAAAATCCACCCATCATATTTGATTGGGGCGATAAGAATTAGTTCTTTTTTGCTACAAATTACCTATTTTTCTATTAACTTGGGCTTGTCCAAACAGTTTGTACTAAAGCATATATTGTTTTAGCCCTCTGTAGCAGTGATTTATTGAACATCATGGTTAATAAAGTTTACCTACATCTAAGCCCAGTCCCACAAGACAATTGGCTATTTCACTGGCCACAAAAAAATGGAGGACTTTAAGTCTTGACGAATGTCACGGGAATAGTAGTTACGAAGGTTAGACATCACCTCCCTATAATGTCATTTAGATACGAGTCTGCATCAACGTGAAGTTTGGCAAGTTGAGAATTCATATCTACTGCTTTCATTAACACACCAACAAAAAATAGAAATAAAAAGACTATAATTGACACTTACAGGTTGACATCGTGTTTCATGAGGCGCATTCTGGCATCTCTTGGCCAACACTTTTTATTGTTGTAGCCCACAATGTTCTCATTATTGGGATCTGGATGCTCTGTAAGGTATCTCTGAATAAGATCCCGAGCTTCATCAGCTGAAAATCTACAGAAAAACACATCAAGATGTTTAATTAACCATAGGTGTAATTAGCTACTACACATGTATAAATAGACAAATTAAAAATAAGAGAAATGTAGAAGAAGGCTGATACAGGTTAAATGAGCACAACTGTAGTTGATTTTAAGGCAGACAAAGGAATAAAGGTCAGAGTTTCTGGAGGACTTATGAAAAATGGATTAGGAGTTACAAAAAGGGAACTACAGATGTAGATCATACCTGAAAAAGATGTGAATACGATCAATGTATCTGCAGTACAGTCTGATTGGGTGAGCAGCCTCTGTGGCCACATCCTGGAAACTAAGAAAGTCATTTGGCATTTGTGGTGGCCCAGCCATTTCACTGGCTCTGTGTAATCCAAGTACCAAAAGATCCATAACCAGCCCATAGTATTGAACAATAAAGGAAGCAAACTGCAGTCCACGGATGATTCCATAGGAGTTTGTGTGATTCATATCCTGTTAAAGAAAATACGTTATTGACACTCAGATCTCAAACATTGAATGTGCTTCAAACACTAAATAAGATAAATCCAGCAAAATAAATTGCTGAATGAAAAAGGAGCTCAGACACCATTGTGGGCGCAGTGGCATAGGAATGTAGCAGAAACAAACACCATCTTCAAATGGCGCTACAACAGTGATGTCTATGAATGAAGTCTCCAGAGATATTGCCTTGTGAGGAGCAAGACAGGGCCTTATTGCCAAAGCTTGAGGCTTTATTACTAGGTAAATCAGTCCCTACTGAAATTAAAATTCAAACAATCTATAGGAGTATTTCATAGATTGTAAAAAGGAAGAGTATAACTATGATTTCATTTTCTTCCAGTGGATCCTGAATCTAAAAGGTTAACAATAATATTGTAAAATGTCAAGAATTCAAAGCGTTATCAGGGTTTTGAAAATACTGACAAAGACACACTTTTTTTTTATTTATATGCCGATATTCCACTAATGAGGATATGCCCACAAGACAAACTAGTACTTGTATCTCTGTACTTTTAAAAAGACTTGCGCTGAGGTTATCGAAAAAGAGCAAGGCATTCTTCTGAACCCACAAGGCTTTCATTCTACACATTGTTACCTTGTAGTTTATCACCACGTTATTTTTGGCTGTCATGTAATCAGCAATGTTGTGATCAACAATGAGACGTAGGAGACGATTCAGCAGAGTCAAATCAATCTTCTCATACATCTTCTCAAATCGGGACTCAAGCATCACATTGCATTCCCCTTCAGTGGTGTCCCATACATCTTGCAGGTTGTTTATACCTAAAGAAATGTGACGAACAAAAGTTAAACTACTTGAAAAGAACATTTGCAGCCATTGCTGCTTAACAGGAAATGCTACTATACATCATGACCACTGTGCTGACTTTTAGGCATTTTCATATTAAACTGTGTTAGCAATTGCTGGAAGAAACCATTTGGCAGCTTTGTATTTAAAAGTGCACTCTTTCTTCCTCATCCAGAAAATGCCTCAGTACCACCTGTCAATGCCACCAACAAGTTAAGATTCACAGATTATTCCCCCTCCCCAATAATCTCAAATGCCCTCTACAAACAGTACATGTGTCCTGAGAGCTAAAAATGGGATGTTTAAATCTGCCTTTCCATTAAAAAGGACCATTAAATCAATAAACTAGTTACAGGGAACATACGATAAAGAAAATTGGAAGTCATGAGTCAGGAATTTTTAGAAAGGAAGGAATACTAATAAATATATAGCATTAAATGCTGATTTAGTGCAATGAGCAAAGTATACAAATTGTAAAGTATGAATCCTATAAAAACAGTTATATAGTTAACGTTGCCATGATAGCTTGTGGAAGCTTAACTAACCTTGACACCACTTATACACCAGCAAAGGAGGCGGCTCTGTATCTGCAGGTTTGATCCATGGAGGAAACAGTCGTCTCTTGTCCGCTTCATACCACAAGTATTGATCTAAATAGGCATCAGTGATCTTTTCCAGAGGTTCTACGTCGTAAACTGGGACCAAATGACTGTAAAGATCCATGAACTCTATTCCCACCTGAGAAAAGAACACGGCGCATGCATTTAATAAAACAAAGTATACGGTTATAAAAACAATAAAACAAAGACTGTTTTATGAAATTACCTCCTTGAATGCTCTTTGAGTGAGCAAGTGACGCTTGATCCTGGACAGGGCTTCGTGGGGATTGTCATAAGCCTGTTCAATTAAACCCAACTCTTCCCTCTGTGATTGATTTAAACGGGACTTCACACTGGAAATGAAAAAGGTTGTTTATTACAAAAGAGGCTAAAATTAAATGTGTAATCTTCAAGACACATGACTATTTTATACTAATGAGAATGCACTGCATTGTCAGCTTTTTTTGTGTGGCATTTCAAATATGCTTGCTATAATTTAAGAATGCTATGGTATATTATACTTTTTTTCCCCACAATAAAATAATTTCCACTTTAGTAATTTTCTCTTCCTACAGTTTCCAAGTTTCATTTAAAACTTCATTTTGGGAAAAAATAAATAAATATATATAATCAATGGTTCGGAAGTTCCTTTTGTAACTTCTGTGGCAAAGCGTATTTTTTCCCCCCCATTACTTAAAAATCTGCAAGGACAAGTGATTTTTTTTACCTGTATGCTTCCTTCAGTCTCTCCAAAGCTAGAATAAGTAGTTTAGTATCATGTTTGTAGGAGAGAGGAGGAAATGGGATAGGGGAGAATCTCCTGCTCTCCAGCCAGTGCACAGTGGTTGTATACACAGCAACCGCCTCTTCTGCTGTAATGTAAGGTCCATCCTTAAAAAAAATAATGAAAAAAAAAATACGAGTCAGCTTTGAATTATCATTCCACTAACTAGAAATCGTATTCTTGTTATTATATCACCTTTAGGTAGTTGTGCTGTCTCTCCTGCTCTGCTTTAAGATATAGACGGGTTAGACGTCCCAAATTCTTCTTACACACAGTTTTGTCCACAGTGGCTCCACGTCGAATACGTTCTCTGTTGTAATGTGCAGTATTTGTCCACCAGTCAGCTTTCGCCTTTACATAGCGGAGAATCATGTTTTCAATGGGAGTTGGAAGACCAGGTACCTAAAAAAAATTAAAAAAAATAAATAAATAAAAAAAAGTTTTAAAAACAATTGGTGGCTTTAAGCAATTTCTGTAAAGTGCTATAGTTAAACTTGACAAGGACAAAAGTAAATGGGAAAACATTTAAGTCAATCAAAAATAACCACTAAACAAAAACAGATTTGTACACAATTTGTCTAATATTAACATCTGTGTGCTGCTCTTCTCCCTTGTGGAGTGTGATATATTCCATCATCCCAGCATTTACCTTCCAAGGAATATTAGCCTTCCAGCATCTCCATGCTTCACTCAAATGTTGCAGGATGGTACGGGCCTTGTTTTGTTTAATGCCTTCTGGCATCATATCCAAAATGTCATGCATAACGGCTGCCCTGAGCTCAAGGTCAAAGTGAGACTCCACTCTCTGCTTTGTCACAGTTTTTGCTACACCCTTGGAATGACGACCTGAAAATTAACATTTTAATATTAGTCTTGCAAAGTGACGTAATAAAAAAATGCATTGGGTAATATATATTAAAAAAAATAAAAAAATAAAACAGACCAGAAAAAAAAACAAAAAAGAATGCTCATAAAAACCAGCCAACCTTCAAACTGTCTGGCCAGCAAATTTCCAAGCCATCTTTCTAGCAAAGGGGTAATTCCACGCATAAAGAAGAGCCAGACTCTCCATCCGGCTGCCCAAAAGCCACATCCAGGTCCTTTACCAACTGGCCCCTGTAATAAAAATAATTATTTACATTAGAACAGACCACTGGGGGAGCGAGGCACGGAGCAGAAAAAGTACATGATCAGATACTCACTGTGTTGAACCTGTAGTATATGAGATGTTTCAAGTCTTTGCACATTCGGATTTGTCTCATGAGTTTGTATTTATATCTATACATTCCAGTAAGCTGTCCCACGTGAGCAAAGATGTACTGCAAGCCATCTGCCAACTATATGAAGAGACACAGCCATTTCAATAACACCATTTTATGCGCGGCACCATTAGCAAACACTTAAAAATAATGTCATTTCAAAAAGACATCAGGATTACGTAAAATAAATAAACCAAAGATCCCAACACAAAACAAAACTATTAAATTATTTAGAGGTTCATTCACTGTAAGGGATAAAAAGGCATTACCTGAAATGCATCAACGTTTCCCAATCTGTACTGCACATGGCTGTCCACAACCAGTTTAGTCAAACGAAGAACTTCTCGACAAAGATGGAAGGCATTTCCAAACCGAGATTTCTTACGTTCCTATACAGGGATAAAATAAACACAGGTTAAAATACAAGTCCTAATATAACCAGGGTCTATGATTACAATCTAAGCAACAAATTTTGCAGAAAAACAAGCTTTAGTGCTCAAAAGCCAAGACGTTGACTGGAAATTGGTATTTTCCCTCTAAGTCTATACATTTGCTAGCAAAACTGCTAGCACAATGTATAAATAAAATCATATGCTTAATCTACAGTTCATAAATTGTTTGGGGTATGTCAGATGCCATTTACGCCTTATAGCAGTGGAAGGGAGTTTGATTGTATTACATACACAAGGGAGCTAATAAAGCTGAAAGATAGTTGAACGTTTTAAAGACAGATTCTGATTCTATTTATTTTATTGTCTTAATACTTTTCACACACCACCACACTTAATCTTTTTTAACTCAAAAGACCACATTGATGCAAATCTGTAGGATTTTAAGAGCACACAATTATTAATTATGTTCTGCACCATCTGGAGAAGGAAGCCTTATCCTTATTCTCCAAGCAACCAAATGCAATAGAAATATTTTTATATACAAGAAATATTTATATGAAAACATTTTCAAGTAAGAATTTGTTCACCTAGAAAACCAGAGTACAAGTGTTAAGAACACATCTACCCAACTAATTTAAAGCAAAAAAGTGGAAGAAACTTGATATGAACCTTTGTGGTCAGCGTTTTCACTGGTTTCAAGTTGAAATTATAATCCAAGTGAAGATAGTTTAGGTTCTTTCTGTGAATTAGCAAGTTCAGCATGTTGTATCCCTGCCGGCAAACTTGCAGACCAACTTCTACCCAGTCCAGCTTGGTCGATTGGAAGAATTTTGTAGCTTTGAATGAACGGAAGAGATACCTATTGGGAAAAAAAACATCCATTAGTGAAAGAGTCTGGAAGCATGCAAGAGATGAAGTTATTAAACTCGCCAAACCTACCTCTTCTTTTGAGCCTTTGGTGGTCTATGCTTAAGTGCATTGAGCACATAGTATTTCAGCAACTTTTGGTAGGAGACTCGAACTTTAACAGGCTGGCCCGCGGGACAATGTTCTCGATACCTGAATAATTAAGCTCATTAAATATACTTTACATATAAAACTTGACTGATGCAATAGACCGCTAAAATGTTAACTAATCCTTACCAGTTCTTCACCAGAGGTATATCAACAGCTCTTCGTGTCCTGCCAGATCTTAGGTTGAAGGGACGTGGTGCCCAGAGCAAAGCAATACCATTAGCTGTATTGTCACTGTACAACGGTGTGTCCTTAAGGAAGGGCTCCACATATTCTGGCAATTCAAACTCTTCATCATCATCTGGCAGTGGCTCTTGACTCTAACAGATGTCCAAGAAATGAAGTTAAGCAGCACATTGTCATATATACTAAAATTTACACTATGTAACATTCTATGACATCCAGAACAGAGTTTTAGGAAGAGAGAATGCAGCAAAACTCACCTTTACAGAGTGTCTGTGAGAAATGGGATTGATCAGTGGATCAAAATAGAAAGCTGGCAGATCAGGATCTTCTGTTTTAATGAAAACTACATTTGGGGTGTGATACCTTTTAAAACAAGATAAAAGGACAAAATTGGTCATTCACAAATGCATTAACAGCAGTAAGTAGAACAACTGTCAATACATGTATTACAGGGCATCAGTTTTCTCACTTACCATGTTAGGTGCACATGGTGAGGAAGGTTGTTGTACAGATAAGGGAATGCAATCTTGTACTCTGTTCTGATTGGCTGTCTGATAATGATTTTATTGATATCATTAAATTCATTCCAGTCTTCATCCCTGAAAGAAGCAATACACGTTACTAGGAGTTACAAATAAAAATAAACGCATACCTTTAAATCAAATACTGCACTCACTGCAAGTTAATGTCGCGAACCAATGGCTCAAATTTTGGTCCACCAGGAATAGCCATGTTCAAAGCCTTGGAGGTGAAGAAGGCCTTCAAATCAAACAGGTAAAAGTAGTTATCATCCACCAGATCTGTGAGCAGTTGATTGGCTAGTCGATACAATGTGGACATCATTGGAAGAGTAAACTGCCATCGCTGGTATGTAGACCCGTTCACATACCTGCAAAGTTATAAAAAAAATAAAAAAATTCACTTAGACACTGTATAGGAACACAAGGATTAAAATAATTATTAACCCCAAATAGTTTTTTTTAAAATGTATACAAATAAAATATTTAGTTACTGCTCAGTATGGTTTGTACTAATGGACTGACTTGGAATCAGATTCTAAGATAATTTAAAAAAAAGAAAAAAAAAAAGAAAAAAAAAAGTGCATTTCTACCTAAATGGTGTGTCATTTCTTAGTGAGAGGAGTGTATAAAATATAACTTATTAAATCCTTTTAAAAGAATTAAGTGATTGAAGTAGGATAAACGAAAAGATAAAAATAAAAACAATATAGGAGGACAGTCCTTGCTAGTTTAGGTAATTATTGCTTTTATATTAGTCACACTATTGTGTTATGGTTTTATGTTCTCAGTAGCTCTGTATATGGATACAAGTAGCAACTTGTGAAGTTTAGCAAACGATTATAGCTACTTTGTATCACTGTATACATGTAATTGGAAATAAAGCAGGAGGGCAGAAAAACATATCACCATAGGTATTGTGAATATGCTATGGTACAATATTTACACAGATGATATTAAATCCTTCTACCTAAATTAAAGTAAATCTCTAGTGCCTTCGAGGGCACTCCTTAGCCAAAAACCTGCTCTGTTGCTGCACCTCCCTATTATCGGTCCGCTAAAGTACTGATCAGAAGGAACGTGATGGTAACTATATTCAGAGGGAGGTTATCCTCATACAGGACTGTAAACTCCTATCCTAGTGGACGATGTGTGATGATAGTGTCGGTCAAGTCGTTCTAACGGTAAGTAAAGAGCCGGCACTAATGATGAATCAATGTTGGCGTCCAGAGCCCCTAAAGTGTCTTATAGACAATTTCAATATATCTTTCTTTCCTCTTTGATTCAGATTCTAAGATAAGTTCATTTACTTTCTGTTGTCTCTTAGAGGTTGATGGTCATAGAACCAGTCCATGACAGGAGCATCTTCCTCGTTATCCAGCTCCAACTGAATTGCTTCCAGCGGCTCAACATCAAGAATGTTATCAGCATAATCTAGTGGTGGTTCCTCATCGTCAAAGGGAGGAAATCTCATTCTCTTAAAGTGTCTACGATCTCTCTTCTCTCGTCTCATCATAATCCACATCGATCTATGAGAAGAATGGAAATTAATAAACTCTGAATGGGACTTATAAGAAGAGATTTAAAAAAAAACAAAAAAAAACGTTTGCAAACGTCAACAGGAAAAAGACAATGACTTATAACATTAATCTTAAAGGAACCCGTCAATGGAATTTTATTTTGACAATTTAGTAGATATACCTCAATGAAAGCATGAATTAATTGCAGCATTTTATCCCATTTGGGGGTATAGCTAAAAAGAGCAACTCTTTCTACAGCCTTTGAAGCTCTTCCCTTCGTCTCTAGCATAGACTTTCACTTTGTGCCAAGGAATCAAGAAGTCTTAGATTTTGAGCCGCACAAGCTAAAAGCTTTCGTCCCAAGTTATCCAGGCCGAAAATCAGGCAGTCTGTGGGCCTCTAATTGTGCACGTGAGCGCTGACCAGCACATTTTACTTGAGAGTAGAGCCAGGCTTGCTCTAGCAGAATGTGCCTACCACTTCCATTAGTCCTTAATGTTTTTGAAATTTGTTATAAAAATAAATAAAATAAAAAAAGAGAGTGTTGATTTCAAACTTTAAAGGGACACTAGGCCTCCAGACCACTTTAGCTAATTGAAGTTGTCTGGGTGCGGGGTCCTTTTTGCACTTTGTGCTGGAATGTAAAACATTGCAGTTCTAACAGACAGCCACTTGAGGGCTTCCGGAATACAAACAGACTTTTGGTCCGTTATCAGACGCTGGACGTCCTCATGGACCTGCAGCGTCAGATTTTCCCCATAGGAAAGCATTGAATAATCCTTTCCTATGGGGAGGTCTAATGCGCATTAGGTCTCCCTGCCAGATGATGTTGGTGGGGAGGAATGTGGGCGGAGCCTGACCCAGCGCAGAAGGACATCGGCGCTGGATTTGGGTAAGCCCCACGGGAGCTGGGGCGCAAGCACTCCAGGAGCCTATAGTGGCACTATTGTATCCCTTTAAACATCATCAAGGCACACATATGCAGATCACTGAGGTGAACCAACGCTTTGTAGCCCTCTAAGCTACATTAGCAAAAGAGCTCGGTTGCTTAAACGATACTCTTATAAGTAAACTACAAGTGTACAACAGAACATTGGCGATCTGATAGTAAATATAGGTTACTTACCCCCACTGCGATATATAGACTGGTTCAATGACCCATGGAATTTCACTGACAAATGAGATGGCACCAGTTATATGATACAGAACAGGTACATCCCGGATCTGCTCCCAGGGCATGGGCATGTTCTCCAGCAATTTTAAGACTGCATGCGGCATGTACTTCAGAGCTCTAAGAAGGAAAACAAGAGCAAAGAGTAACTACTGTGAATTAAAGGCAGCAAGCCAAACATATTGAAAACAAAAACTACAATGTAATACATGAGAAAAGTACAATGTATCATTGTGTGTGTGTGTGTATATATATATTTATTTATATTATTATTTATTTAGATTACAAAAATACATTTTCAGAATATGTTCCTGAAGTTCAGTGTTGCTTTCTTATGAAAACAAAGGTATTTTTACACAAATTATTATTACTATAATATGTGTTATTTAATCCCTTCATGACCGGACTGTTTTGGCCTTGTTGTACATTAAGGACCAGGGCTGTTTTTTCCCCATTCTTTATTTTTCTCAGAATAAGGATAAAACATGTATTGTACACCATGATACAGACAACAGGTGATGTAACAGTGGTATATCTAAGTCTTGAAAGTGCCATTTGTGTGTGAAAAATGCATATTTATGTTATTTGTATAATTTTGTATATGGATATATATAAAATTTCATTCTAAGTGTATTTTGATATAAATTTATATATATTAATATCAAAATATAGTTAGAATAAAATTACATATAACAAAATTTTTAAATTATTTTTACAGGTTTTTACTTATTTGTATTTTATAATATATAGATATACACAATATATAGTTATTGTGTGTGTGTGTATATAATATATTATATATACAGATACATACACACAATTATATTTTTAATTATTTTACACATACAGGGAGACTGCCTGTCAGTTCAGGCAGTCCTCCTGCTGGCAGATTGACGGACGCGTATTGTAGCCATGTGACGGCTCTGTTATAGCGATAACATGGCCGTGTGGGCCTAATTTGCTGAGGGGGGGAGGGGGTGCTGTCTGAGGCTGTCCCCCCGAGCAACGCCAATCGTTGGTAAATATTACCGTTATGACGGTTCAGTACCGTCATCGGTCCTCAAGTGGATGTTTCCGATGACTTCCTGAACCATCAGCGGTCCTTAAGAGGTTAATAATACTAAGAATAGTTAAAAAAAAAACAAGGCAGATATTGAATTGTTTAACTATAAAAATCTGATCAAACACTAAGAACAGACAAGAATTGGGGAGGTCACAATCATGCCATACAAGTAAAATATCACATCACTCAGAAGACGCTGCATGCACCCATCCCAATGTAAGTTGTCAAACTGTTTCCCCTTTATGTAATGATAATGTGATAACCTTTTCTACAGGGGATTCTTCAAATTTGTTACGTCAAAGAGCAGATTTGTAAAAAACAAAAAACCATTCTTACCCAAGGTAAACTCTTTTATCATGCCGGAACTTTCTGTTTGTCATGTCACCATGGTCACGGATGATTTTACGAACATGTTCTGGGGGCATATCTTCCTTCTGTGCATCTACAAAGCCAAACTTTCTCTTCTCGGCATAACGCTTGGCTTGTAGCTGCTGCCATTTTCGTGCTGCAAATAACGTTTGATTTAATTTATGAATGTATTTCCTTTTTCCAACACAAAGCACTTTATATAATGTTACTTTAGTTCTGTTAGCCTACTTAGTTATTGTCTATCAGAAAAGGAAAATCACTGAGCAAAGCTAAATAATTAGCAAAATAATATACAGCACTCACTTCAGTAAAAGTTTTTTAAAAATAAAATGTATAAGAGAAAGAGAGAGAATGTGAATATTAAAATAGCAAGACTATCACAATATGGCCTTTGCAAAGAATGTTTTCAAACAAAGCTGGAAATTATGAGGACAGAAGAAAAACATTATCAGGTTTATTCAATAAAATAAGAATTAAAAATAAATTGAAAGTGAATTTCAAATGTATGGTTTTAAAAATCCAAACTAGGAAAATTCTCTAAGTCAGCTATACATTCCCTGACCGTAAATCTGAAATTCACTTTGAATTCCCACTAAATGACCCTGTAATGTATGCATATTAGAAGCTCCATCTTTCCACTGAACTCACCTTTCTCCTGTAATTTTTCTTCAGACATGTAGTCTGGAGGAAGACCAGGTGGGCCAGGCATGGGGGCACCCCCAGGTCTGTATGGAAACACCCCGGCCATGGTGTTTCAAACTATGTGTAACAAGAAAAAGAAAACAAACAAATAAATTAAAAATAATGCCAGAAAATTAAATAATACAGATTCCCCAGAGTCTGCAGGGAGCAGCAACAGGGTGATATTTAAGAGCATTATTATCCTCCGGTTTTCAAATAGAGAGCTGTGCATATCCATACAAACTCCTAGTCTTTATGAGTTTGTGTGTGTAACTCACCCGTTAATGGGGCTGGAAGTCATTTGGTGCTATCATAATATTCAGTGTTTAAAAATGTGTCAAATGGTTTACACTGTATATTCCATTATGTTTGTTGTGTACACTTATGTAGTACTCTACAAGCACAACCTTACTAAGTTTATGTTTACAAAAAAAAAAAAAAAACACAACCGTAGACCTTTTTTGCTTCATGACCACTTGAGTTGATATTATACCTCGATCTGGATTGCTTACAGTATTTTTTTTAGTTTGTGCATACTGCTGTACATAAAAGTACTCAAAATCTTTGGGGGAAAGGGGGAGTTCTGCTAGTGCCTAAATTGTCATTTTAGCCAACAGCCATCAACCTTTCATAAAGAAAGAAGTAATATATATAAAAAAAAGGGACTAGGGCTTAAAATTTCTACTCTCCCCTAGCAAGTGAATATTTAGTCCTGGCCAGTAGACGTTTATTCCTAGTGAGTATTTCTTTAACTTGCAAAAGTAAGCAGCTTTTAAAGGTCTGGCTAGTAGCATAGGTTAACATTTTAAGCTCTGCACAGGACATATAGGAGTCCTGCACCAAAATAAATATTAGATATACTGGACAATAAAATAGTTCAGATACAGGGCACAAAATATCTACCACAACACTCAGATAAGACTCAAAATGTAAAGTTAATGTAACAAAATCTAAAAAAATACTAGCAAAACCATATAATGCCTAAGTTGCACATTAAGATGTGCACTGAGCAAATGTTCATTTTTCTCTGGATTAAAAGGACCAATTTATAAAAAAAAATTAAAAAAAAAAAATTACAAGGTTTAAGACAAAACTTGCAGGAATATGTTGAAAGCTATCATCACTCAGAACATGGTAAGTGAGAGATCACATGCCCCCAGTCTACGCATATCTGCATTGGCATTGCATATCTCAAGCCGATCAGCAGTATATAAACACTGGCATTTACAATTACAGAAGACCAAAAACCCAAACAACACTTTCTACTACAAACGATTTAACAGAAATAATACTGTATATATCCAAAAGCAAAATGAAACACCAAGAACAGTCCAACAGCACAGCACTGTTTTGTATCTGACAGATGTACATTTTTTTAGTAAAAACGGCAAAATCACTTGCACTTTAGGATAACTAACTGCCCTGTAAGGAGTGAATGCTTCCACAGAAATCCCTGCGCAACTCAATTTTTATAAATTACACAAGTCACCGTGTGAAACTAATTTTCTTTTCATTTTAAACTACACTTACACACCAAGTCACCATTTAGGAGAGTTTTATTTCCTTATAAAGTAAGGATAGCTAAAGGACTATTCCTATTCTCCCAAACAGTTTGAATAAATAACAGTGAAATACTAATTAAAATATATATATATTTTAAAAATCGATTTAAAACAGTGGTTCCCAACCCAGTCCTCAACTACCCCTTAACAGTTCAGGATTTAAAGATTACCAAATTGTGTCTAAGGTGTTTTTAGAAAGTGGAAAAAACAAAACAACAACCACTTTGTACAGAACAGGGTAATTCCTAAATCCTGGACTGGTAAGGAGGGTACTTGAGGACTGGGTTGGGGACCCCTGGCTTTAAAAGATTGATTTCAGGGTAACACGGCAGCATGAATCTACAACAGGGTCAGGCAACCTCCGGCACTCCAGATGTTGAGGACTCCATCTCCCATGATGCTTTGCCAGCAGTATGGAGTTAGTGCTGATGGCTGGCTGACCCCGGTCTAGCTATAGTCTCACTATGTGTATGATATGCTGTAACAGTGAGTGCCCAGCGCTGGCTGCCTGTCCCTGAGCCCGGCATTGCAGGATACACGGCCTCCCAGGCGGTCAGTGTAACACGATGTCTGGCGTCCTAGGCCTCCATCCTCCCGCGGCCTCGCTTACACCCAGCTACCCTGAGACTGCCCTCACCGCCCGCCCGGACAGCGATCCCCGGCCCCCCGCTCGCTCCCCGGCTAGCCACGCACACCGACCTGTTTCCGGATCTATCGCTCTCCCCAGCACTGGCCGCTTCTACCTCGGGAGCACAATGGCGGCCAAACGCGCCGCAGACGATCCGAGTGTTGACCCGGAAGGAGAACGAGAGCGCGTGGTGACGTCACTGGCGCGCCCCAGGTTTCGAACCAATATGAAGACGGAACGTGAGAAGGGAGGAAATGACGTGCAAAGATCGCACCGGAAGAGAACGTCCTGGGAAACAGGAAGTGTTTGCGAGTTGTTTTTTTATTTCCTTAGCTCAGGGATGGGAAACGAACCGGCTGAGCTATGTGCAGACAGCTAACATGGGTCCTGTAAGAGGCTGGGGAATGGCCCTTTCACAGTGCTGCTAATGGGTGCTGCCTATCTCTCCCGCCTCCCACACACTATAACCTCCTCCCACACACTGTAACCCTCTCCCACACACTGTAACCCCCTCCCACACACTGTAACCTCCTCCCACACACTGTAACCCCCTCCCACACACTGTAACCTCCTCCCTACACACTGTAACCTCCCCCCTACACACTGTAACCGCCTCCCACACACTGTAACCTCCTCCCACACACTGTAACCCCTCCCACACACTGTAACCCCCTCCCACACACTGTAACCTCCCCCCTACACACTGTAACCCTCTCCCACACACTGTAACCCCCTCCCACACACTGTAACCCTCCCACACACTATAACCTCCTCCCACACACTGTAACCCTCTCCCACACACTGTAACCCTCTCCCACACACTGTAACCCCCTCCCACACACTGTAACCTCCTCCCACACACTATAACCTCCTCCCACACACTGTAACCCCCTCCCACACACTGTAACCCCCTCCCACACACTGTAACCTCCTCCCACACACTGTAACCCTCCCTCCCACACACTGTAAATCCTCCCCACACACACACTGTAACCTCCCTCCCTACACACTGTAACCTCTCCCCTACACACTGTAAACCGCCTCCCCACACACTGTAACCTCCTCCCACACACTGTGTAACCCTCCCACACACTGTAACCCCTCCCACACACTGTAACCTCCCCCTACACACTGTAACCGCTTCTCCCACACTGTAACCTCCTCCCACACACTGTAACCTCCTCCCACACTGTAACCTCCCCTACACACTGTAACCCCTCTCTACACACCTCAAATCGCCTCCTGCCACACACTGCAACCTCCTCCCTCCCACACACTGTAACCCCTCCCACACACTGTAACCTCCTCCCACAGCCACTGTAAATCCCTCCCACACACTGTAACCTCCCTCCCACACACCCTGTAACCTCCTCCCTCCCACACACACTGTAACTCCCTCCCTACAATACCTCAAATCAGCCCCCACACACTGTAACCCCTCCCACACACTGTAACCCTCCTATACCTCCTGCCACACTGCAAATCAGCCTCTACACACTAACCCTCCTACACACTGTAACCCCCTCCTACACCCCCTCCTACACACTGTAACCGCCTCCTACACACTGTAACCCCCTCCTACACACTGTAAGCTCCTCCTACAGACTGTAAGCTCCTCCTACGCACTGTAAGCTCCCCCTATACACTGTAAGCTCCCCCTATACACTGTAAGCTCCTCCTATAGACTGTAAGCTCATTTGAGTAGGGCCCTCTTCAACCGATCGTTCCTGTAAGTTTTCTTGTAATTGTCCTATTTATAGTTATTTATAGTTACATCCCCTCTCATAATATTGTAAAGCGCTACGTAATCTGTTGGCGCTAAATAAATGTCAATAATAATGATTGTACAAATAGACCCTGTATCAAGTGAGCTGTTGTGGTTCTGCTGGTTAAAGGGACACTCAAGGTACCCAGACCACTTCTGCCCATTGAAGTGGTCTGGGTGCCAACTCCCACTACCCTTAACCCTGCAAGTGTAATTATTGCAGTTTTCATAAATTGCAATATTTACTTTGAAGGGTTAAGTCTTCCTCTAGTGGCTGTCTACTAGACAGCCACTAGGGGACACTTCCATGTTCATAGAACACGAAAAAAAGTAAGCAGCTGTAGCGTGTGCTGTAGCGTCGCTGGACATCCTCACGCTATGTGAGGACCTCCAGCGTCGCTGAAATCCCTATAGGAAAGCATTGAAAGCATTATTCAATGCGTTCCTATGGGGAGGGCTGTGCATTAGGTCTACCCCATTGACTGTTGTAGCAGGCTTATGCAGTGTATGATCAAATAATGGAACTAGACCCCCATTATTTTTTCCCTAGATTAGGTGTTTTTAAAAAACTAATAAAATCTGTCAACATTGAAGTTGCTGTTTAGTGGGATCTTGTGTATTGTATGATTTGGACCCCAGCAGCACCCCATTTATGCATGTTCAGGTGAGTGCAGCCCCCCCCCCCCTGTTTTATTTTTATAATTATAATTATAATTTGATTTAATAATGTTTCCCCCCAGACCTGGAGCAACGCCAAATGGCAGCGATTATGTAAGTAATAAGGACAGCGGGGACGTTCTTTGCCGTCCGCCGGCCTTTAGAGACACCCTAAAAAGGATGGCATAGAACGCCTGCCGTCCTTAACCCCTTTTATTCCAGAAGTTTGATCCTTAAGGGGTTAAAGCGACTCTAAAATTTTTACATAATCAGTATCCATTTCTCCCAACCTGAACAGCGATGATTGGTAGAGAATAATGGGGCAGGTTAACCAATTCTTTGTCAATAAATGCGAAACTGTTAATTCATTTTTTCCACTGTATGCTAATAATAAAGGTCATGTATAAAGATGAGAACCAGATGGTTTAGAATGATACAGCTAGCTCACATATACTGACATACCCTTTTACTTCCAGTTAAAGAAACACTCTATTGCTCAAAATTCAAATCACTATGTAGTTGATATTCCCTAAATGAAAACATGATTGCATTTATTTTTGGGTGTATATCTGAAAACAGTTTACAAAAAGTTCCATCAGCCTTTGCAAGCCATACTTTTTTCCCTAGCATAGACAATCAGTATACTTTAAAATGCATCTGATTAAGAAGCTTCTGTGCTTAAATTGCCAGCATTTACGATTATATTTTTCCTATGCTTCCTAATAAGCCATAATATTCTTACTTTTGCTAAGCTGGAAAGCAGACAAGCACTAGTCCAATGAGTCTGTTGCTCTCTTAGCTCTGTGAATAACAAAGAAGAAAATAAATTTGGCAGTCTGATTGACAGACTCCAGATATAAGCTGAAGTGCTTTATGTATGTGGAGTGATCATAACGAAAGATCTAGTTCCCAGACAAATTATGGACTTTTTGCTCCTAGTTGTCACATCACAGAGTGGCATTTGATTTATATAAATGTATAGTAACAATTAAGCCAGCTGTGGGGAAACATTGATTCAAATAAATGTTCCCACAATACTCACCACTCCTCCTGTGTTCCCATGTTGCTTCATTCGCCATTCTCTGGCTATAGCTGTAGGAGTTGCAAAATAGAGCTGCCTGCTAGCTGGACAGTCTGGTCCTGCCCCTATTTTGTATATTGTAAAAACAGAATTTGAAAAGTTTATTTAAAACTATTAAATTGAGACCTTAATTTGATGAATGCCTATCTATCTATATAAATCCAAGATGGCTGTACTCACCTGAACATGCATTCATTATAAGGGTGCTGCAGGGACCTATTATTATACAAGATCCAGCATATTCACTCACTTACTAAACTCTAACTTTAAAGTTCACAAAAATGAATTAAACATTTTTTTTTAATCACTTGACTTTGGAAAAATAATGGGAAGTAAGTTACAGTATATGCAGCAAGGTTTTAAGATGGTTGGAGCTAGAATCGACCCCCAAAATTTGACTCTGCCCTTTAATTCTGTAGCTACCATCTTCTGACTTGTGGTATCTGTCCACTTATCCTCATGTACTCAACCCCTAATGGAAGTCTCCATTTAACACAGCATTACCCATACAATACTCAGAGTTGTAATGCTTCCCAATAGTCCTGATTTTGTCGGGACAGGACCTGAAAATCGGACTGTCCCATTTTTGGAGACACCAGTACATTAGATAAATCCACGCTATGTTTAGGCCACTTGGACCCTGCAGGGAGCAATGAAACAGTGCTCCCTGCAGGATCAGCCCTTAGTGAGCTGACCTCCGTGATGGTAAGGCAATCTGGCATGTATTCACGCCAGGCTGACCTGCCATAAACTCAGATTAACCCGCCTCCTTTCTGGGCAGAGCTAGTGACACAATCACATCCATTTATTCCCTACACAGGAAAAAAAAACGGAGATTTAGCCAGGAGTGTGTTTTTTTAATTCTTTATTTTGACATGTAGTGATATATCACAATAACATAACACAATACCGAGGTTAAAGGATCACTATAGGGTCAGGAACACAAACATGTATTCCTGACCCTATAGTGTTAAAACCACCATCTAGCTCCCCTGGGCCACTCATGCCTCCATAATATAGTAAAATTTTTACTGTATTCAAGCCTGAAGCGGTAACTCTGCACGCTGTTAGACTCAGAAAAACAAGCAGTCTGCTGACATCATCAGAAGTGGTAGCCTGATCCAATCACAATGCT